CAGCCGAGAAGCACCGTGCTTGTTACTTGCCCTGGGAACGAGCACGAAGGAAGAATGCCAAGGCAGCAGGGATTACTCAGCAAAGAGCACAGAGACTCTGCTGCTGGATCTTAACAGAGCCCAGCAGGTACCTGGGGCTCATTCACTCTGCTGAAAAAACACTCACAGAAACCCCCGCTCAGCGAGACACCGAGTCCCCAGCTCTGCTGACCCTGGCAGGAACAGAGGGTGCTCGGCAAGGAGCCAGGTGGGGCCTGAAAGCACTGCAGCATCCAGCAGAAGATACTGGGAACTTGGGATTTTCCAGAAGGAAATTGGCACAGGGAGGTGAAGGGCAAGGAATGGAAAAGAGTGAAGCCTGATGCTTCCCTACTTGGTCATCTGCGTACATTAAAGCATTGAGAAGAGACTTAACGAGCAGCCAACCATTGAGGACGATCAGATTTGGAGAGAGCATGCAACGCTGCAGCACCCAGCGCTGCAGCTCCAACTGGCACCTGGACCAGCCCAATTCTCCCCTCCCGAAGGCAGTGTGGCTGCTTGCCATAAACATGCAGCCGTGCCACACGCTCCAGGTTGCCCTTCAAAGCTCAGCCCGCAGGATCAGCGCAGCCCAGCGTTAGAGAGTCGGCAGAGCGGGCGCGCAGCAAGGCATCCCACAGCCCATGCACAGGCACCTCACTGCCCTGAGCAGCAGCGGGGACAAAGGACCTCTCCCACCCAGGACTCACCAGAGCATTCCTCTTTGGTTTGCCATCAGCAGTGACCGAGACGGAGCGTGCCATGTGCTTGGCCGGAGAGGCACTGCTGGGACGCCGCGAGACCGGTGCGGGGAGGCCCGTGAGGCTCAGATCCACGCTGCCAGAACCAGCGCCCTGGAAGGAGGAGCTGCTGCGGGTGCTCTTCATGCTTGAGCAGAGAGAAGGGGCCCTGGAAGCACAGCGCAGACAGAGAAGTGAAGGCACAGAGTGCATCCAGCCTTGTCCCGCAAGGAAACCACACACTCTGCTCCCAGCTGCCCACAAACGCCAGCACACAGAGCCGTAACCATTTTCAAACGGGACAAAACACCTTCTGTGTTTCCACATGCCAAACAACCCTGAACACAAAGCCTGGAGAGGCTCCAGGTGAACTCCTCACAGTGCCCAACACCAGCAGCTGTCTCCTCACTGCTTTGACCTAACGCCCCAGCGGTCCCATGTCCTGCTGCCCCATTTATGGGCCAGGATGCTCGCTTCAAGGCCAGCAGACTACTAAGACAGAGGAGAAAAGCCCCGCTCTCCACACTGGGCTGCTTCACTCCATACAGACCGTGGCTGCGAGAGGTTCATGCGAGCCCAGAGGGGCTCCTTCTGCTAAGGCCAGAGGTTTGGCTCACCCATAAGCCTGCATCGGGCAGGGATGCTGAAGAAGCAACTGGGTAGCTCCCAAGGGATCCTTCCCCCACCAAGCGCTCCCAATCTCTGCCAAGAAGCTGTTCAGAAGCAGCCATGCCCCCTCCGCGGGCACAGGGAGAGCTGAGCCCCCTTCCCAGCTCGGGAGGCAGCACGCTCCTCGCTTTACCCCCTCGCATTGTCCCCCGCC